GCTTTGTGATACATCTAAGTACGTTAGCAGATTTATAAAGTAATACAAAGTCTACGTATCTGGGTCGGTCGTGTAGATTGTAATGTAGAGTAATTCCAGCAAACCCGAAAACATGGCAAGCCAACAATGTTTGATCACGTAAACAAGGTGTCAGCTGACTAAAGAAACATTGTTCATCGCTTCGTATTGTACATACCCGCATAGTTGTTCTGTGTGTAGTCAATGCAGATAGCAGGTGACTGGCGTGTCCAATTTGCACTATATTAGCCTCTGATATTCACTGAAATCAGCATTATAATCAAAATAAAAGTTAGATATATTCTCTGCAGCCATGATATATTTCACTACAATAACAATGACGTCACATATGTCGATCGGTTTGGCTCCAGATTAATACTTTCATATTAATAACTGCACACGTATGGATCATGAATATTTTAAATATTACCTTGCTTACATGCATCATATAATCCCGGTATTTATTAGGGACCAAAACCATCCAGTAAATAATAAGACAATAATTTTCCAATGATAAATATTCCGGTTATTAATAGACTCTGTAATTTAATGCACACAGCTGATAGGAATTTTCCATTGACCTTGTTTTGTCTATTTATAGCATTTACGGGTAAACATGTCCTTCTACTACTTCAACTATTTTATACCCTATTAAACTATTACATTAGTTAACGAAATACTGTTGTATGCTTTTGTTTCAAAAGAAAATTCGCTGAATGCAATATGATGAAACACAACCAGGAAAGGGGTTTCCCCTGGAGTTTGGGGCGCCTTGAGGTTTTTTACTCTACTATGTTATGACTCATTTTAGCGAGAAATGTATTCTCTACATTATTGCGTGTTTTACGTTTGTTTATATATCTATTAATGATTAAGATTCCATTTTCAGTTACACTGTATACATAGAAGTGTCATTAAAGCACTTCCTTTAGCATATCTGTGTGGCAAATATGAAATCACGGTTAAATATATATATATATATATATAACTGCATCATATATACTATCATTATTGTTAATTTCTTGTTGCGTCTGATATTACTTCTATAGGCCTATCATACAATCTTCAACTAGTCAACAGTTCTCTGTCTTACAACACATAAAAATAATGGTATATTTACCAGTGCTATTTAATGATTTTATAAGTATAATTAATTTAATTGCAATATTCATATCATGAAAATTATGAAAGGTATTTTATTTTTAAATAAAAATCGGATCCATAGTAAAGTTTTTTCTATCAGGACTCCGAAACATCCTCCCCTCCTTTTTATTTATTCATTTTTTGCGCAAAATTGTATGGGGGCTTCAACGCCAAAATTTCATTTGAAAATCCATATGAATGATCTATAAATGTCTACCATTTTATCTAGTGAAGTCATGAATAGGGTTTTGAGATGTGTTTTCTTATTTGGTGTCTCCTACCTTCCTGTTGCTGCCCTGTTGCATCGGCTTTGACAGTGATACAATTGCTACATTTAAAAAACAAATATGATTAGAAGTGTTGTATCTTTGGATTTTAACTGGTTTACGAGTTTGTTATTGAATTCAACCAAAAATAAGTTAACAGAATTTGTTACAAATCCTGTCATTTTCCCCTAGTAATACACTAATGATGAGTTCGATTGCATTGAGACGAATTAAATCAATGGTATATTATTCTAACACATATTTAATTTGAATTAAACAAATAATAACAATTATAATAATTGTCATTGATACAGTGCCATCTCTAGAGCGCTTTACAGAATAAGACATACAGAATACAATTAATATGAAATAAAATGCATATCACATAGTAAGTCCGATTTTAAAGGATATTGTCCCTGCGTTGTGTCTTTAATTCTTTGGAGATGTTGGTTATAAATGCCTTGTTGCAAACGAGTCTTCTGACGTTATGAGTCGTCCCTTTCTGTAAAACATACCTTAACATCACTTATCGGTTGATTTGTAAAACTCCATAATATAGGAAATAAATAAGATTACATATAATTGTATAGATTTTCTTTAATTGCATTAACCTTACTTTGTTATGTTTTTTATATTAAATGTTATGTTGCATTGTATTACACGTAAATGTTTTTTTAAATCTAGATGAGCACTCTGTTTACGTTATGGACGTTTTAGGAGTAATGCTTAACGAGTAACACGTATAATGAAGTTTACCCGGACCATGAACTCACTTCTCGTCCAATCTCTTGACAGATATTCTTTTTAATACATGTATACAGCAAATAGTATATCCGTATGTCCTTCAAAACAAAAATTTCCACACATGTGTATTCTTAAAGATGGTGATATATTATTATCCAGTTTCTAAAACATATTAGAAAAAAGGTAAATAGATTTTCGATCATATCATCAATGATAAATATTTGTTGACGGCAAGTTATATGCATAGTAGAAGATATTAAAATAAGAGGTACTAATTGTTCTGATTACATTTGTATATTTAGTCATACATATCCAATACCTCCTCGACGTGTTGGCGGCGTTGACTGTAATTAGACCGTTACTGGTAAATTAATCCTTTTAGACTTGGAATCAAGCAAGATATCATCAAAAAAAGCTAACTGAAGACAGACTCTCATAATGCAAATGTATTATTAATAAAGCCTATTAGGTGATTTACTGCGAAGTTGAATTAAAGTATTCAGAAATATGCTTTGTGTGTCTTGGTGACAAGTAGAAATGATGGCATATATATATATATATATATATATATATATATACATGTACAGTAAATCAATTGTTGTGGACCAATATGAATCACGGTTGCCTCCCTTCTCATTGATATTTTTATAGTAAAACGTGTTGACGGGCAGGATCTGCTTACCCTGGTAATCAAATGGTTTTTCGATAAATGTTTTAAGCATTTATTTATTTTTAATTTACTAAAGCTTTATTCATGTTTTTACAACTAAACCATTTTCCTTTTTTATGCAATAGTAGTTAACCTAAGTTTAACTCGATCAGTTGTGAAATAATGACATGATTATGTACACTTCTAAGACAACACGATTTTAATGGTAATAATATTTTTTTTATCTGGACAGGGTAATATATCTAGATTTACATCTAACTTACAACATGGCACTATAATAGACAGTTAACAATGGACATGGAAATACGATGACACATACAGTATAAACAAATGATAACAATATCACCTGTACAGATCATGCATTCAAAAGGATGTTTCTTTCTCTCAAAAAAAAATAGCCTAGCATCAAACATCAGGGAACACAGAATTTGCAAGGTATCTTTTCACGACTGACTTATAAATTTAAGACTTGAATTAGTGAAGAAAGAAGAATATAACATAACCGACATTTGGTTTTCCTTATACACGGTACACGAAATAAAGTTGAGTTGAAATGGGGATATGCTCCAGTATCTACCGTCTGCTATAAACTAGGAATGACAGTTTTTTTATATTGATACATGAAGTTTTGTGCATTACATGTATTTAACACAATATCTATTGAGTCTTTCAAATCGTCATTAAAACATAATTAGAAAAATAACGATCTGGTTTTCAGAAAGACAGATGCGTGCGATAACAGACACCCTTCAAGCCCAGCGGTACATAAAGGACCTATTTACATTTGTTAGACGCAGAAGTATCTGTCGTTAAAGCACGACAACCTTACCGAAATATGTTTCAACCATTGTTTCATTATTTTAACAAAACAAAAAACAACACAAAAAAAATGTTAAGAGAGGAAACAAAATAATTTCGGTAAACTAAATATTAAATAACTTTAAAAAAATATATTTTTAAGGGAAAAACCCCGGTTAATAACATTTGAATTAACTAATGATTAAACTAACAATGCTTTGTAGTTCTAGGTTACAGTTTTAATGGGTTTGTAGGATATTGCATGGATTATCAACATTGTTCCCTTTAATGGCGGTGTGCCAGGTGTATACATACGATGTAAACAAATCATGTAAACATATGAGAGACCAGTATATTGTTGATCTTATTGATACGTCTATACTCTGGTGTGTATTATATTTGTAGTATGAACGTTTTGCAGTACTGTATATATACAATCTCCAACGAATGTCTGGTTTACTGTACAGTTACAGTCCCCACGAGGTATCTCTGTTTATGACTGTCTACCGCTGTTCTTTCTGCATGCTATATAGACAGGACAAATTGACATATTTATGTTATGTGAGCATTCGACTAAGTAATGCATTAAGCAGCTTTTTTCTTTTTATAAATATCTTCCTCGGGCTTAAATGTGACAATTGTTTGATCAAATATTTTCGCAAGATCAAATTCTTACAATTTCAATTGAAGGCAATTATTAAAATCATATGAAAAGTCCAAACATATTACCTTACATATTTGGTTATGCATAGCTTTTATCTCATGTGTTATAGGTTTAACTTCAAGGCAGCAATGACGGCATGGAAGCTGCAAAATACAGCACTTATTAAGTCCCTCAAACGAAATGGGGGACTTATTGGTTTAACTCCGTTTCTTCTTCTTTTTCTTTTTCTTCTTTTTCTTTTTCTTCTTCTTCTTCTTCTTCTTCTTCTTCTTCTTCTTCTTCTGTCTTAAAAGTTGCCGACACTGGAGGTGTTTAAATTAGCAAGATAACCCTATTAATAATTATCAGTGAAGCTTCAACCTGTCAAATCTATTAGTTTCCCTTTGACCTGAAATAATAATAATAAGCACTATCTTTGCAAAGTAATGCGTTATTCTATTAGTTGTGTACTTTTTTTATTAAAAAGATTGTTTCGAAGTATATAAACGAATATTTTATTTGTCTGAGTACAATAGTTGGATGTTCAAATGATAATGATATTTAGCATACAGTATTTGATAGTCAGTTTAAATACGTAAATAGAGACATGATCCTCATGGTTGGCCCATATCAAGAACAATAGTAATGCTCTGTCTTTTGTTTTAGACATTGCCTGATAGCCATTTAAAGGCTGACGGTTCACATGCCTGTAGTGCTACCGTCTAGTCAGACACACACTGGTATTGGTATCTTATTTCAATTCTCATTAATCTTGGCTGATCTTGGTACTTCTACACCACCTGTTCGCTAGGAACAATAGTATCTGGAACCAGAAAGTTTGAAGTCAACAATGGACGAACCGTTACAGGTGAATGATCTCGTGGGTCTTTCGTCCTCTTCCTCAAGTGGGAGTTACTGCACGAGTGAAGCCAGTATCGACAATAAGTTGTTGGTGGAAAGCGGGTGCCAGGCTGGAAGAAGTTTTGTTGACAACATCAGCGATAAGGAAGCAGATCTGCACGCGCAACGTATTGTGTCTCAAGACGATTGTTCAACAACAACAACTGTCCTAAGCACGATGTCGAGGCATGCTTTGTCTACAGATAGACCTAACTCTCCACTGGTAGAATCGGTCGTCAGGAAAGACGGCGCGCCAGAAAAACTGACACGGACACAAAAGGACGGACAAAATACTAAAGATAGAGAAATGGATCATGTAAATAAAGATACAGAAAGTGAAAAAGAAATGGAGTCGATAGCAGCGAGTTTCCTACAGGCTAACGATACTTCCGATTTACGTCTAGTTTGTGAGGGTAAACCGCTGTACGTTTCACGGATTGTACTGTCCATAGTTTCTCCCGTCCTAAAACAGATGTTTGACAGTCGTTCCCGAGAACAGAGTGTCATAGAAATACCATTACCAGGTAAATCGTACGGAGACATCTTAGAATTTCTCTGCTGTGTCTATCCGGATAAATTGAAACCAGTGACGGGTGAGTGACGTCATAGCATTTTAATTGTCTTATAAATTGAGCTAATTGCATGCCTACTTTGATAGAGAGGGATGAACCTTCTGTGTTAAACTGTTTTTTTTTATATCAGTTTCCATATATTTGTGTCAATCTGCTGATCTTCTGAACTACTAGAGTGATAAAGGAGCGATTTCAAGGCAAGAAATAAGTCTGACTCTATAAATAGCATATGTATTGTAAAGTGTTGACACCATCATTATTGTGACGTCATGTCATGAATGTTATTGGTACCTTCATTGACGGCGATTGTTCTATTAATTAAAATATCACGCATGATATATACACATATTTAACGGAACGCTGTCTTTGGATAAATTGTTAAATTTTCAATAAGATAAAATCTTCCACAATTTTTGATAAATTGAACAATTTAATCTTTTACATTTTTTGGGGAAAACAAACCATAAAAAATATTGAAATCCTAGTAAAGATCCTTACCTTACAAATACCGTAAGCAAATACTGTATGGTTCTTATTTGGGTCTACATCAATATCCTGACATAAATCTTGATTAAATATTAACTTATTATAAATTGAGTAATATACTACAATCCCTGCGAGTGATTAAGTGTCAACATTTGAAAGATAATGGTATTCTACAGGAAGCGAGTATATAGACCGCCCACTCAAATACCATTTTATCAACTTACAAAATGTACCAATATAAGCAGTTCTGTTCATTTCTTTTAGAATCATTTAATACACGATGTTTGTATAAACGTGTATGTAGTGTTGTCTGTGTACACAGGTACGCGGATTCACAGATTTATTTTGACAATATACAGATATAATAAACGGATTTACAACCCTTTAATTGGCAGCTTGAGAATAGACACAAACAAATCTAAATACCGTGACATCCGAACACAGTATTTAAAGAGATAACACTGTGTTCAGCCATCCGTGTAAATACCAAAACAACGGGACTGAATTCACCAAATACCAGAACTGTTGTCAGCTTATCGATACAATAGGTGAAACAAATAAACAAATGAAAACTTAACATTTTTTTAAAAGATATGAGTCTGATTGTCTTTTTGTGTGGTGTTCCTAATATGGAAAACACACAGTTAAAAATGGCTTTAAGGGTTTGTGGGAAATTACGTGCCAATTTGTTTTATAATATGCTGACGAAGCTTGACGAATTGAAATGATTGATTAGCAATGGTGTATTTACTACGTGTGTATTTATCTTTATAAATAAATACCGGGCCTTGAGTAAGGCCGTCTGTTTCAACAGTAGTTAAGAAAAAAAATGTTTGGCTTCTAGCATTATCGACAAGTACTAGTAGGACGGAACAGCCGTATGACGCAGTGCTATTTATTTTTGGAATACAATATATATTACCAAAAGGTACAATCACCTGCATGCATTACGCTACTTTTTCGCTTAAAATGTATCAACTTTGTATATACATTGGAAAGTAAACATCCTTATTGTAACTACAGTTTCTTTATAGATATGTATATATAAATATTCCAATCACCTTAACCTTTTTGATATCATAAAGATACATTATTTTTTTTTCAATTTCAACTTTATGTACTCTTGAGTTCATCATCAGAATCTTTCTAATCTCAAACACTGTTTATGTTTCATTTTTAATATTGATGGAAAATGAAAATATCATCGATAAATTTGATGCAACTGAGTTTTTATTTTATGAAACAATGATAAACGATCCATGATACGTTACCTAAGTAAAGTATTGTATTTTGTTCGAAAACTCTAACTTCTGCTTGTTTTCGTATCATTGACAGAACAAAACGTGATAACACTTCTTGACTTAGCTGACGATTACAAGGTGGCCAGTTTGAAATTACGATGTGAGCAATATCTTCTAGAGGAGTTAACCCGGAACCGGAAGTGTATCTCTCCTGGCAGGTTGGTCAGGACGATCCAACTGGCAGATCAGTATGGTTTGGAAAGAATCAAACATCAGTGTTTCGAAATAGCCACTCGCACCTCCTCGGATTTATTGGAAAATGTGCAAGGATTCTGGGATTTATCGCACGTGCATACGGCAACCATATTTCTACAGAGATTAAAGTTATTTGAATCGGCGTCTAAAAAGGTCAGCAAGCGTCTGACAGAAGTAGAGGCTCACTGTAGCTTGTATCACAAAAACGACAGATGGGGAGACAACCTGTGTAATAAGTGTCTCGCGAGTGTCGGGAAAGTAGCCGCCGTGGAAATAGCACAGTTATAAACGTGTGACGTCATATAGAAAATCATCCTCTGGTGTTACATTGAAATAATCATTGACATTAACTAAAATTTCAGCAAACATGTTTACATTCTCATAGTTAGACTACATGTGATCATTTATATTGCGTAATAAATATCTACTGAGTGTCTAAAAATTAGAAAGTAATGTCATATGTTTGCTTTGAACCAAAACATTAATTGAAATCATATTTTTCTTAACCGTCGATTTCCTTTGTTAAAGTAAGCTGTAAGATAGCAAATGACTGTGTCTTGGTTCTGTATCATTGAAGACAATTCACAAAGCAACAATGTTAGTAAAATTAGTTGTCAAAATGATATTGAGTCATTTCAAAAGACTCTTATACTGCATGCAACAGAGCTAATTGACTAGGATCCCGAATCTCGCAGAAAAGTCTGACGGGGTGATTATTTGAAGTGTATGTTGGAAAATTGAGTGTACTACATTCATGTAAATATCAGGGGAAATTATTAAAGATTCCACAAAAAGGACGCCAAATTGATTGTTTGTCTACGGTGTCAGATTCCTGACACAAATATAAAATCGTTTTAGCCTTTTGTCTTATAATGAAATATACAGCAGACACTTCAGAATAAGATTAACGTGTGTATCGGTATCGCATGTTGTACAATGATTGATGTATGATAGCATATTTGCGCGAGGGGGTTTATATTAATAATAATCATAATAATAATTCGAGGTTCTTATATACCGCTTTATCACAACCTACATATATCGATCGTAGTTCGTCTCAAAGCAGTTCACAAATTATTATCCGTGGTTATAGGGCCTTTGCAACCAGCCAATACTTTTCTCAACTCCCTGAGGAGCATACAGCCAGAGCTGCCATTTCGGCGCTAACAGCTAGCATTCAACAATTCTAGCATTTCCCAACCACGTACTCATTTACAGCTGGGTAGACTGGAACAGGCGGAGTAAAGTATCTTGCTCAAAGATACAACACAGTGCCGTGCCGTGACTCGAACTCCCAACCCTTCGGTCACGAGCCCGGCGTCCTACCACTAGACTACCGTGCCTCACAACCCTTCGGTCACGAGCCCGGCGTCCTACCATAGACTACCGTGCGTCCAATTGGGAGTTGAGTTTAGTTTAAACATATTTTATTGCCAAAATAGTGACAACAGGATTGGACACAAGTTATTACAACATTATTTACGCCCTTTCCTCAAATATAAACATCAGATTTACAAACATGGCACAACTGGGTATCAAATAAAATGTATAATAGTAGCATTACAACATCAGAAACAAAAAGAGAAAGTAAAAGAAAAACAGAAAGAACAACATTGAACAGTCTCACAAATTGAGTATAGAAATATAAAACGCCTTACGATTTAAAACCTACCGCTGGTCTTTATGAATGTTTGCACGTTACGAAAAACATCATTATGTTGTTGAGAAGACAGATCCGGAATACCAGATAACAATATATATAAGGAGATTTCATTAACAAAATTTAGATTTTGAAACAATTCAAACCTCTGGTGTGTATAGTTGAGTCTTTATGACTCTGCTGGCAAGACAAATTAAAGACATTTGCAGATATGTATATGTGTGCTTAAATGTTTAAAGATGCGGATATATCAGATAAGTTGTACTTCTTAACAGACTCGTGACGCTGTCGGCAATCCACGTTGATTACTGGAACCACATCCATGTCCGTTAGATTCGCCATTGATATGTTGTTGATCTCTTCCAACAAATCTACAAGGCTAAGGCATGTTGAATTTAATTAGGTGGTAATTTACTTGAAATTAGTTAAAACCTTGAACATCGAGGAATGATAATCCGGACAAACTTGTTTCAAAACTCTTCAAGAACAGACTGACAATCTTCGTACGACGAATAAGGAAGACTGTTGGATGTTTACAAATTCTATCAAGCATCATTTGATTTTTGCACATAGGTTGACTACACCTCGAATTCGTTCAAACCGATTTATTCTTGATGGTTAGATTTCCAGAAATGTAGAAAGTTTTTTGTTTAATCTACAGAATAGATGGTTTAATTTATAATATTTTATTTCATGTTTCATTAATATGCTTATGAAACATTTCCATGTACATACATGTATACTATGTAACTTGTTTGATTACTGTAATGGGATGGATTTCCAATTGATTCTCCTCATGAATTACATCCAACAATATACCTCTTTTTTGGTTCAAGTAACATGAGCATTCCTGAACGGAAGTGTTTTTCATGTGAAACCATTATTTGTTATTCCGTCTTTGCGTATTGCAGAGTTGTCTTCTTTTGTGAGCAGGTATTGATTGTTACGTCATTGGTTTGTGTGAGAAAATTGCGTCGTTTTCTCAAAAATTGATGACGTTACTCTCACAAACAAATGACGTAACAATCAATACCTGCTCACAAGAGAAGATAACTCTGCAATACGCAAAGACGGAATAGGAGTCAGACAATTTTCCTAGCTTCAGTATTGATTTCCAATCCACAAACCTAAGCTAAGGAACGTTCGTAATCTTTTGATCAGTATAAACGAACAGAATTATACGAAATATATTAATAAAGTAGCAAACACAAAAACATCCTGCCAGATTTGTTTAACGAGAGAATCTTCTTTATTATAGAAATAGAAATACGTCATGATTCTTTCCTCTTTTTCACGCTGTCATATATATAGTTGTTGTTTTAACATTCAACTGAAACAATTGAGGGTGTTATGTAAAAGAAGTTCTTCATATTTCACGTTAGAATATCACACAAGACCAACGTTAACCCTGTTGCGAAAAAAACCCCGTTCGTACTGTTGAGCTTAATAAGACTTTGCCATTAAATTGTATTTTTATGGATTAAAAACATTAATGAATGAAGCTTTCTAAGTTTATTGATATCACAGTTGTCAAGCTTTTCATTACACTTTTGGCGACAAGCGGTACCTCCTTATACATTGGTACAACAATAGATGTCGCTTTGACTGACACAATACAAAAGGATTAATTGAAGCGATCGACTTAAAGAATTTTGGGAGATAAAACCTTTTTATTTTTTTGCAAAATGCATTAAGTATACATGTACACCTTTAAGATACGAAGTCTTCGCAGGCATAATTTTAAAAGGAAACGATTTAAAACTTTTAAAACTTTAAATCAATGACATTTTTTCTTGTATAGAACGATAAAGCCTGCCCCGTGAAACTTTCATTATTCCAATCTATTCCTGATTGTATCGTTGACAAGTCGTAAAAAGAGACTTTGCACTTGTAAACTGACAAGAATAACAATAAACTGTGCATAGATAGTTTATTATATAATCTTTATTTAACGTCGTGTACAATTATCAGCAATAAACATGAGCTCTGTAGAGCTTTTATTACGACGCCGCTAAGGACACAAATGCTGTTTTCATGGTAGAGGAAAGCCAAAGGGGGGAAACCACCATGCCATCGGAGGGATAACAGCTAACCCTATCAGACATCAGTCTCGTTTTTCCCATCACCGCTGGGGATTGAATAGTCTCGTCTCGAATAGTCTGCGTAAGCTACGCCGAACAGAGAGTCTGGTCAAACCCAGTGCTATCGTTTTGTGAAGTCATAACGTGGCTTACCAGAATTCTGGTAAATTCTTTCATTGGTCAAAGGCAACTTTTGAAGTAAGAATTTGAGCGGCGCAAAAGTACATTGAATATTTTAATTCATGAAAAAACTTACCTGTACGTGCATTCCTGAAGTATCCATGTTTTCACTATTATCGAGAAAAATATAAGAAAATGTTTCAAATCTCAAGAATGATTTCATGTATTTTCATTGGATATTTTTTAATAATTAATGAAGCTAACAAGGCTATTGATACAAGTCAAGCCAGATTACCTGAGTGAGAACCTATAGTGTTTTGAATGTTGTACAGATAAAATCTCACTTGCTTTGCATGCTTTTTTCCAACCTCAGTAAGCCTTGTTGGCTTTGTGCTCAGTTATGATTTATTCAGTGGAAATACATGGCATTATTCTGGAGATTTGACACATTGTCTTACATTGTTCTCGATAATAGGCCTATTGAATACACGGGTACTTCAGGAATGCATGCACAGGTACAATGTAAGTTATTTTCATTAATTTCAATATTCTTTGAAATGTTTTAATGGCGTTGACATAACGAAAGTAAAAACACTTCCCTCTGGTGATTGTAGTTTTAAAGTACTGTGTTTGACCAGACTCTTGAATTACAAGTGATCAAGCGTCTGATTGAACGAGACTAGGGATCGAACCGAAGTTCTTGGGAGAGTGAGTGGTCTGAAGCTCACGCTTGATTGCACACAGTAGTACAATGACTATGCGCGTATAAGCGAGATTTATGGTTCAATGAAAATAGAAAAGACCATACAAATTAGTTTTTATGCTTCAAACATACTTTTTGGAAAAAACAAATGTAAATTTATTTAATTATTTGTACTTTAATGGAAAAACGGTGGTCAATGTTGGACCGTTATTAAAACAATATTGACGGACATTCTATTATATTTACATTTCCACTGAGAGTTTATCTATCAGCATTGTCGTACGAAAAAACGTTCATAGGGTTATGAACGCAATGGGATCAGCGTCATTTTGAAGTTTCTCCTCGATCAAGCCTAAATTTACATGAACCAACCATTTGAAGAAAACATTTTGTTGACGTTAGCCTTTTCCAGGAATCTCGTTTGCACTGAAGACACATACACTTGAATATCGGGGAATATCTTTGTTTAGGTGTATGATATCTACAAAAACAGGCATCATATAACAGTATGAATAACCCATTTGAGTCCATACCAGCATGAAATTGACAATTTTCTTCAGTGCTAATCAGAAGATTGATCCGTATTTTCAATTAACAGCTCAACGTTGGCGGAAACATGATACCCCTTCGATCCCAGTACTGTACATTTACAGTGTACAGCGAACATTTCCCATTTGTTAGCTTTGATTACTGCCGATAATAGAGCAAAGGGCAACATTTTATTTGAGTATAACCACCACATCAGCATTTGTTTTGTAGTGTCATATTTCTTCTATTTTTAAGCTTCGAGTATCGATATATTTACTAGAATATGTCTACATAATCATGTAAAATCATATGATATATTATCACAGTTCCCGAGATAATGTTACCGTTATGATTATTAAACTAATAACTTTTCTCTTTAAACTGTACAGATAGAAAACAATATCAAACGGGTTTTAAAGCAATGTGTTAAGGATCCCCGTCCCTCTGCCTAAAATGTAATGAGGCATTGGTTTTGTTATCTACGGCATCGCTATCGCATAACCAAATTATTTCTGAACAATAACCCATACCTTGCGGTAGTTTCTTCAGATATTTTTGGATATTATGAAAATCCATTTTTTTTTTCTTTTTTCTGTCTTTCAATAGAACAAAATGAAACAAAATACATTTTATTTGATGCAGCAATGGTTTATTAGAAATATAACACATACAAAATAATAACAATGTCAATATTGATGATCAAAACACAAAAAAACTGAGTAATTTTCTAACAATAATACTAAAACAAACAAAAATGCCTGTTACATGAATCAATAAAATTCCGAGTGCCAATGCAACACGTTTAGGACAACGAAAAGAAAATATAGGTGACAAAAATTAAA